GGGGTTCAAAGCAAACCATAGGGTTGCCCTTTCATTTACACGGGACGGATGGTTGTGGTTGTTATTTTTTATGGATAAAAAGAAAAATCAAAGAGACACTCAGGACTGTCCAACATGGAATCAAGGGAGATAATTCAGTTCCTACACATGTAACGGGGTGTCATTTCCAAGAGTTACGTACCCTTAATCGCACGTTGAGGAGAACAGCCACTCTGTATCAGGTTAAATTAGTGACGTATTTTCCTTGTATTGTGTCTTTAGTGAAAAAATTACGGTAGATAGGTGAGGGTTTGTAAGTAAATTTTTCGCTTTTAAGGACAAGCGGGCTAAGCCCAGATCTCGGGGATTTCCAGAAATCTTGATCTACACCAAAAGTGGGCATTGCCCTACGTGTAGGAGACGTTTGGTTTCTTTGGTCATGGTTTGTATATTTATTTGGTTAAAAAGAAAACTCTCCTTGTCTTTTACAGAAACTGAACAAGGATCCAAAAACTTTACCTTCGATTTCTTAAAACAGCATTTTTCTGGATAGCCCCCTTGTGCATAAAAGCGACCAATTGGTGACGAATTTTCCTAGTAATTACAATAGTAGGTGAGGGTTTGTGTTATTAACCCCCCTAAAATACTGAATTGTCTCTGACCCAATAAGGGGTGCTCATTGGGGGGTCGAGGTCGGGGGGGGGGGGGGGGTTGCTAGCCAGATAGAGGGCGCAAAGCAGCTATCGTGGCACAAGCCGTTCGCGCCCGACTCATCGCCTCTAGAACAAACACGTTTGTTTTCAGGCGATGAGTTGAGTGATCGTCCTCGATCCGACCCGACTCAATCCCATCCACAATGGGCACCGCTTGTAAGTTTCCACACCCTCTTTTCTTCCCAGGGCCAGCCTGGCTTGACCATCACCGGACCACCTGGACCCCCTGGACCTGCTGGACGTCCCGGTTCTCTCGACGTCATCCCAGAGTTTGAGGCTGGACCTAAAGGTGACCCCGGCGAGCCAGGACTGCCTGGAATGCCCGGACAGATTGGACCAGCGGGTATCCCCGGACCCCCAGGAGATCGTGGATTCCCCGGACTTGTCGGACCAGTTGGACCCAAGGTAATGTCACAGTGTCATAATATCATAGTGTCATGATGTCACAGTGTCACATCATCTCTGTGGGGTCACTAAAGGAGCTGATGTGCTAAATTCTCCTTTTT